AGCAGCAGATAAAGTGAGATGGTCCAAGCACTGAAACAAACACGTTTTTTTCCCTTACGTCTCCCTATGTCCTTGTAGATTTTACTTACGTTATCACAGCAGTATCATTAAGCTCTGGAAAAATGCTCAGGAATCACTCTGCTACCATTTCTGATAGACAGATGTCCAGCATTAAACTGAGTGCTGGATGTTTAAAGAGAATGGATCTGCTACCAGAAATGCTTTCAGGCTGTGCATAGAGACAGCACAAAGAATGCAAGCCTTTGAGTCCAAGGTCAACCTGCTTTGAGCACAGAGGTGGAGATGATGAGACTGGGCTTCTGCAGGGAGAGAAGTTGCATGCATCGTGACTATGAACTCTTTACAACAAGAGAGGAAGGAGGCACTTGTAGCTGGCCCCAAGGATATTAGGGTTCATGCCAAATTCTCTGAGTGACCTTGGGTAATTTATTCCAGTTGACACCATATGTCTGGACTTCCAAAAAGCCTTTGAAAAAGTCCTCCATTAGAGGCTCTTAATGAAGTTAGGCAGTCATGGGATTACAGGGAAGGTCCACTCATGGATTAGATATTGGTTTAAGGATAAAAACCAAAGAGTGTTTATAAATGGGCAGTTTTCTGGGATGGAAAGCAATAAACAGTGGGGTCCCCCCAGGGATCTTTGTTGGGACCAGTACTGTTTAACATATTCAAAAATGATGTGGAAAAGAGGGTAAGTAGTGAGGTGGCCAGATTTGCAGATGACACAAAATTAGTCAAAGTGGTGAAGATCAAAGCAGACTGTGAGGAACTACAAAAAGATCTTGCATTACATAGCAGATTAAATTCAAGGTAGATAAGTGTGATGCACATGGGCCAAAATGGACGGTAAATGAGGATCATGGATGATAATTTTTCACCCCTACTTTGTCCACTTAGATTACAATCTTTTCAGAGAAGAGAGTGGTTTTATACAGTGCCTACCACAGTTGTCTCAACTGGAGTTTTCTGGCACAGTGAATAAATAATAATATACCCGTACCTAAATTAAATTATGAGGGTATGTCATATTTACTTTGTACAAAACACTAACTAAAAATAAATAGATAATAGGAATAACTAACCATACACTTCCTCATATTGCAACAGAGGGTGGTGACAGATGTAAAGAAAGCAACATGTTGCACATTGTGCTTCACAGTTAAGACGCAAGGAATGAACAGACATTCATTTGTAGCGTTATACTACTCAAAAGAGAAATCTTCTCAAAAAAGAGAGTGTGCAGACATTCCCCCTCTCCTCTGCTTCCTGCATCTTCCCCAGACCAGGGGTACCCCACTTTAGGGAGGGTACAGGAAGCCAGTCCTTGATAGAAGTAAAGAGGCAGGGAAACACACAGGTAAGAGACTCCTGCACAGGTCCAATCTTCCTAATTAAAAGAGGGAGATCTTTCTCCCAGACCTGGCATTTTTCCTACAGAAAAAATTATATGCTTCCATTTTCTAGTGAGTGTGGGATGTTTCCTCCTAGAAATGTAACGCTGGTCCATGCTCATAATTGTGCTCATATGAAAGCTCTTTATATCTGGAAAGTCAAAGCTACCACAACATATAGCTCAATGAAAGCCTATGATATTGGTATTCAAACAACGGACTACAGATTTGCAAAAGAATTTCTATCATTGCTGCAACTAATCACAGAGGATTCACAAAAGCTGGGAAATACAAATTGCAAAATAACCTTGCCAAAGGTAATTCTCTTGCAGAAGTGGCCTTGTCCGTGCTGCCTGTGTTCAGTGAACAGTGGGTTTATCCAACGCTTAACGGCTGCTTGAAATTTCAATACGTGGGGTTGGATCCTGCCAGGGGCTGAGAACCATCGGCTCTCATGTTTCAATATGAGGATTTTTTGTTTGCTGGAGAAAAGTTAAAGGGCATTTTCATCCTCACAAGGAGGTTTGATACCCACCCCACTTAGACTTAGTGTAATCAGGGGGAACTCCACTAAAGTCAGCAGTCTCTCAGGGCTGAGATAAGAATCAATCCCTCTCAGCCCAGTTTTCACTGCCCTTTCTGGTGTATAGTTATTTACACCTGTGCAAAATGAGAACAGACAACTCCCAAAGCAATATTCTCATATGCTTTAAGTAAATGCAAAAACAGTCTATAACGTCAACCAGGCTGCTCACCTAACGCAGTACAACACAGACCCCCCTCCACTCCAACAGTGGGGATACAGTTACATTTGTATGAGAACTTAGACTGGTACAGCTTACTCATGCATAGGACGAGGAAGAAATGCTTGCAGTGTAAGGCATCTTTTATCAATATATCTGCATAGATACCAGTTTGTAATGGTATAATTATATCACTAAAAATCAAACCCCAGGTGATAGTCAGACCGGTACAAAAAGATATACTTAGACCAGGCCTTTGATCTCTTTACAATACTCTGGCTGTGAGATGTATTGAGAAGTAAGAGGCAGAATGGATTTTTTTTTTTGTTCTATTTTTTTTTCATCCAAGAGAATTACTAGCATGCTATCAGGGGAACAGTTATTTCAGTTTTCCTAGTGGAAAACTAAAGGTATCCAGCCAGAGTTCAACTTCCCAAGCAAAATTTCCATTTTCTTTTTTTACAATCACAGTCTCCACTGAAAATGTATTTGACTAGAACATTCTCAGCCTACTCTAGTCTTCAGCAATTTCCAAACCTTTCATATTTGCAAGTAAATCTTGTCCCATTACAGTCAATGGCAGTGTTGCCACTGGCTTCAAAATGGCTAGATAATTCTGAACACTGCCAGAAATGTAGATGCACATCCAGATTGCTCCTGGATTATCAAAAGGACAGCCTTGTCCACAGTATTTTTGTCCCTTTCATTTCTTATTCTGTCAGGGGCTTGGCATTGAAAAAGCAGCCAAGAAGAAAATATGGTGAGGAAAAAAATCCTTTAGGGAAACATTTTCAATCCTCAAAAAAAGGTTTGATTCACATTCAATTCAAGTTTGGGATAATGATTTGGAGGTTCCTTTATCCTTAGTAAAATAGGATGATATTTTTGTGAATGTTGTTTCATAGATTTCATAGACATTAGGGCTGGAAGGGACCTCGGAAGATCATTGGGTCTAGCCCCCTGCCCAGGGGCAGGAAGTCAGCTAGGGTCAAAGGATCCCAGCATCCAAATGTTTCTTGAAAGTGTTCAGAGTAGGTGCGTGCATAGATTTGTTGAAAATCTAATTTTTTGTAAGATATTGATGAAGACATTTGACCAGCTTTACCCATTTCTCATTCTGGCACACCTTGTGCATGCATGTTCTGCAGTTATCAAAAACTCCTGCCTCTTAGTTATCAGCAGCACCGGTGGGAATTCTTCCATGCCTTTTCCCTTGTTTAGCAGTGCAATATTCCTAATCATTGCTCTAACTAGCTGTGCACATTTCATCCTTCAATTTACAGGTAGGACGGTAAAAAAATCCACTTGCCTACCTGACAAATGTAATGGCAAAAGCAGCATTTGCTTTTTATGAGAGGAAAATCTACACAGCACAATAATTATCCTATTTAAGCAATGAAGCTTGAAGACATTCACCACCAGTTGTTTCAGTTAAAGACACTGCTAACTTCATTGATCCAATGGCATTAGCAGGGCCTTTAAATTAAAGAAAACACCAAAAACAGAGCTGCAACTTTAATTAAGGCAATTTTGCTGTTGTAAGATCAGAATATACTTTTATGACTTGAAAATGATCTCTTATTTCAGGTCTAAGTGAAACTCCAGCAGTACTAGCTAAGATCCCTAAGTATCTGTTTCACAGTGACAGCTTAGGAGCTTGGAGAGCAATTTCACAGTGAGATATAAATTTCAGAGATCAGGATGGCTAATTCTTAGCAGGTTTTTTATTTCTATCTTAAATATGAACATTGGGGAATCACTGATAAGGACAGAAATTCAGAGCTGCATTTTTTAAAGGGATGGAATACAGGCTCTTGCCTGGAGGTTCTTCTGTGACAAGGCCATTTAACTACTGTAACTTCTTATACTGTCCTATTTCCATTTCCCTTAAAGAATGGGAGGCCACTCTTAATTGAAATTGAAATCTGAGATGAGAAATGATATTCAAATGAAAGTGCATCGTTGCATACTGAGCTCCTGTTTTGGATTAATTTTTGTAATCCAGAGGCTGCGCTGAGCAAAGATTTGTCTCTCTCTGTTTTTCTTTTCTATTCACTCTGGGCAATTTCCATGTCAAGTAGTCCTATACATATACATTTTCTGCCAGATTCTGATAACTTTACTCGATACAAGGACCATTTGTCTTTTGCAAATAGTTTTAGTGAAGTCAGTGGGACTGCCCATGCAAAAAGATGCTACAGTCAGTGGCAAGTAAAGAGATTAGAATCTGGCCCTTACTGAGGAAAAGTTTCTGAAAGTTTCCCAAACCTGCTGAAAATTGAAACCACAGACTTTTATTAAAGACTCTGCAAAAACAAGATTTTTTTATATATATTATGAAGTGATTGAGCTAGGCTCTCTGCTGCTTTGGGGCATTTAGTCAGCTAGCTTGCATAATTCAAATGCTTGGAAAGCCACAAATAATCCAAGCCCTTGCTCAGTCTGCAGAAAATAGTAAAGGAAAATACTTTGCTCCAGATAGTTCTGATACCATATGGCAAATTGCATTTTCTGCCAGTATGCAGCACATTTTAACTCCAAGGAATTTGTAATTATATTCAACTAATTAGCTCCATTTATTTTTTTACCAGGCTGTCCTTTCTGTTAAAAGGCAAGGAAATTCTCTCTCCACCCACCGTGATTATCATTTTTATTATGTGTATAATTGTTGTTAGAGGAAAAGGAATTTAAAGGCCAACTAATAAATATGCACAAAACATGTATCAAATGAGGGGAGCATGCCAAGTCCACTTTTGTCTAAATTTTCTCTCTCTGACAGATACAAATTCTTCAATTATCTCCCATGTTCTCCTTCAGGTCATCAGAGGGCTAAATACATACTTACAAATATATCACCTGCTCGGAGAGTCTGAATGTGAATGAATTTTTTAGTGGCATCCGCTCTTTCCTTCATTTCAGTGTTATCTTCCATGTCTGAAGTCAGAGCCTTTTGGGTGCAACTTGCTGTGGATTGCTGTTCAGGTGTTTTTTTCTCCCTCTGAAGCACTGGTAAGAGGTATTCTTCTTCAATAAAAGTGTCTGAGAACGGCTGAACCTTCTGACTCCCAGGTTCCCTCTGCTGAAATGAAACATAAAGTAATTCACTTGAGTTAATGGTTCTAGAATTGACCCTTGGAAAGACATTGATGTTGCCATTTCAAGATGGGAGATGGCAATATATCACTATTATGAAGCCCTGTGTGGACTGCTATGTACAAACTCTCCTGGTTTCATAAATGGAATTGTATCTCTGGAACAGCAAAGAGAGCTGTGGCCGGGTGGCATTTGTCCCTAAGTACAGTCTAGCACACAAGACTTGTCGATCACATAAATCCCTGTTTCCAGGATATAAAGTAAACTGTAAGGGAACCTAGAAGCATTACATTCAGATCACCCTAAACAAGGTTAGGGCACTCTAAATACTCTGGTGTGCAAGTGATCACAAGGCTTAGTTCACCAGAAAATGGGCGCACCCAATTTAATGTTAGTTATCTCTCATCAGATGAGAACTAAGTTTAGATCAGCATGGTCTAACTTGACCAAGTGAGGGTTAACCCAGCTTGCATGTGTTCATAATACAGCCCCAGGACTAGGAAAGCCCAGCCACTCTCCACAGCCCCAGGGCTATGCTGGTTTTACCCCCTTCACTCTGACCAGGCTATTTTTTCCCATCCAACAACTCTCCCCCAGACTGAGCAGCCCTCTCTATGAACCTACCAGCCCCCCACCCACGACCCACCAGTCCCCCCAGACCTGCCAGCCCCCCTTCATGGACCCACACCCTTCCTCCCCCAACTTGCTTGCCTTTGCCTGCCTGCCCTTTCTCCTGGAAAGCAGTGAGCACTTGCACTCAGCTATCCTGATTAAGATTTAAACTAAGCTACTTGAACCTGACGTGGGACCTGCAAACACTTGATACCCAAACCTTGGGCTGGCTGTCATCACTGGCAGGAATTTCATCCTTAGTAAGTTAAGTATTAAAAATTAGATTCTCTGTTTGGTACAGTTGTGGCAGAAAATAATCATAAGCAAGTTTCCATCCCCTTGATTTTGGCAACAGCCAGTAGCAGGGTACTAGGGCTGTGCAAAGCTTTGGTCCCTGATTCGATTCGGCAGAGATTCGGCCCAATTCAGCAGCCAAATCTCGGAATCCAAATCGAATCAGGGGACCCTTTAATCTCTCCGAATCGAATCGGAACCCTCCAAATTGATTCGGAGAGATTTGGAAAGATTAGACAATTCTGACATAGACACAGCTTTAAATGCTTTTTCTACATACCTCTAGGTACCAGGTGGCTCATCAACACTGTGATGTCGGGGCACATGGAGCATCCCACAGGAGCATGGGGGCTCCTCAGCATGCTCAGCTGCAGACCCAAAAGTGGACCAGAAACACTTCCGGTCCACTTCTGGGTCCACTGGGGAGCATGCTGAAGGGCCCCCCTGTGCTCCCCGGGTCAACGACTGGTGCCTCCTGGGTCTGGGGGGGCACCCAGGTTCCCCCCCAGCTGATCACTGAGCCAGGGAGGCGCCCTTTCCCCCCTACCCCACACTCCTGAGGATGCTCCATCCTCCCCAGCATCACAACATTCATGAGCCACACCCGATACCTCAAGGTATGTAGACATTTTTTTTAAAGCTGCGTCTATGTCCAAATCACTGAATCTCCAAATCAGCATCAAATCTTCAGATTTGGATTCAGCCAAATCGAATCAGGGACAGTGATCCGAATCAACGAATCAAAACACTGTTCCCGATTTGGGCTGACTCTGAATCGAACAGGGCCCGCTTCACACACCCTTACAGGGTACTACTTTTTCCACTGCCACCATTGATTATGTCTTAATTGTCAATAGCAATGTAGGCAGTGCTACTTCAGGTACTTCTGAAGTTGCAGAACAACTGAGAACAACTGCAGAGCAATTTTGAAACAGGGCTGTCTGACCAGTTTTTTGCCTGCAAACCACAAGCAGTTAACTGATTGTCTGCAACTCCCACCTGGGTGCTTCTTCCCCCATGGCTCCTGCTGTTGTTGTAGCTGGGATCTCTGGGTTCTTGTTCCCCCCCTGGAGGTAGGGTGGCACAGCCTGTGGGACCCAGTGGGGTTGGGCAGCCAATATTTCACCCAGCAGGGGAGTCCAGGGCACCCACAGCATGCCAGAGAGACCTGGGGGCTCACAGCTCATGTGGCATGAGGCCCATACGGCATACAGCCCCCAGGCACTCAGAAGTCAAACAACTCTGCTTTCCAATATGTGTTTGCTTATTTGGGCTGCTTTCCTTTTGCTGCTCACATTGCTTCCCTTTTACTGCTCCCTATTTGCTGCTCTGCTTGGCTCACATTGTTAAGAATGGCCTCTGATTTTGCATGATCGAGTGCCGAAAAAACCTGACACACCAAAAATTAGAAGCCAGATTCTTTTTCCTTTGGGTCCTTGTTCACACCAGCAATCTCACTGAAGTAAGTGGGATGTCTAGTGTTAAGAACTGGGAACCATGTCTTCAGATCTTTCTCTCTTTAGAAAGGTTGCCTATGATCCCTCTGAGAAAGGTCTGGAGAGAAAGATCTTGTGGTTAGAGCATAGGCTGGGTTGTGAAGGTTTAGTTCCTGGCTTTATTTTCTTTGACAAATTATTTAACCTCTCTGTACCTCCAATCCCCACTTTATATTTATATATACTTCTCTGTATAACTGCAAGCTCTTGAGGGATAATTGCCTGAATATTTGTATAGTGTCTCATCTCTTAGGTCCTCAATATTAGTTTCTATCTCTAGACACTACAGTATTGTTTAAAAAAAAAACAAAAAACAATTTTCAATGCACCTTAATGATCAAATACCTCCTCGACATATACTAAACAAACTGGTTCCAGTGAGCAAGGATGAGGACAGCCCAGTATTCTGCCGTTACTGATTGAACCATCAACCCTCTCCATTTGAATAAAGCTCATTGAAACCAGTATGACAAAGTGCCACTAGAGGAAAAGAAATAAATAAATAAGAATGAAATCTAGTGTCATAATGTACGACTAGAAAAGCAAAGCCTGATTTTTACACCTTGCAAATGGGTTTGCATATGTATTAATACCAATTTTCAAGTGAATCATAAGAGTTCCTGTACTTGACTCTAATCATAATCTATCCTGCCATGAGCTGTAGAGTGCTTTTGGCAGGAGTTTGTCACACAGCTTTGCCAGAAGAGAAGTGCTCTTTGGGGATAATAATACGGTTTGGATAATGGACACTGGATGTGATACGGTATGGTTACATAGCACGCTGGTTATCAAGAAGGGGAATCTGCACCTAGTTTGCTTAAACTATTGAGATAACTTCATTTGACTCATTAAAATTTCCACAGACTGGGCTAAATCATAATCCCCTTAAGGTGGGCAGCAAAACTCCCACTGGCTTTTATGGCATCTCTCTTTCTTTTTCACTCTCCTTCGCTCTTTCTCAGTTTTGCTCATCTCCCCTTTTACCCCACACTCTGGAAATGGGAGTCAAGAGTAACAGACTTTTATTTTTGCCCTGTTCCTCCAGTTAATGGGCTGTACAGATGGCTTCTCCCAAGAAAAGTAGAAGAAGCCTGAGTGACCAGACATCTGACACGAGCAGACAGAGGTAGTTAGCCATGTTAGTCTGAAGTCAGGAAGAAGGCATGGCAGAGGTATACCTTGTAAGCTAACTGAATGAGAGATGCATAAACTTTCATGAGCAACAGCTCACTTCATCAGAGGCTATGAAAGGACATGCAGAGAGCAGGCTATCAAGCAGGAGCGATTTAAATGCAAAAGACAGGGAAACTGGGAATGGTGGGCAAGGAGGGTGCATAAAGAAAGAGGGAGGACAGTACTGAGAAAGGTAGAGGGGTTTAAAGAGAGCAACAAAGCAATAAACCCACAGTGACATGGGGCTTGTAAGAGCTAATCCAGGTGCTGAGATAAGAATTCATAGTCCCTGTTTAGAACATACATCACACTATCCCCTTTGGGGATGATTTCTTGCTTTGCAATTTCATGTTCAAGTCAGTTTTTAAAATGCTCTTGTTTTTAAAACCCTGAGGTCAACAATGGTGTATCCTGAGAGGTAAAAGTGTTCTACCACAGACCTTTCTGTGTTGCTGGACTTGGCATCAGATGGGTGTCTGTTCATTCTGTCATATGGGGATTACTCCATCTGTTCAAAGTACGTAGCAGAGGAGCACTGTAAGCAGGTGATGGCATATATGACATTGGTAAAGAATCAAGTGAATGAACCCTGGATGTTATAGCTAGTGTTAATTGGTCTACTGATGATATGGCCTGTATTGATAAGGGGACACAGCAGGTATCTGGGTCTGGTGCAAGGCCTAGTGCCTCAGTAAAAATAGGAGTTAAGTAGTCTGTTGCTGGAGAGACACATTTTGAGGTTGGGGATGCTGTCTGTGAGCCAGGACAAGTTTGTCCCTATGAGTGAGTATTATTTCTAGGTAAGTTAAGGTTGCAAAAAAAAATTATTCAGAGTTTCTTCTGCAGTTTACCATCCTGCCACACCTTGATGGGAGTTAATTGAGAAAGAAAAAAAGCACACGGGCAACTCTGTGATGTTGTTGTTCTTGGAAAAACACATCTTAACCCACTTAATGACACTGTGACCCTGAGGTCTGCTCACTCTGGGAGAGATGCAATGATTCAGTTTCTGCAGGTGTGCTCTGCCTGCAGCACTGCCCTTATAAATTGCAAACAAAAAAACCCAGAAAGAAGAGAAAAAGAGAAACTTCTCCACACTGTCTCTATCCACAACTCGTGTCTAGAGCAATTAGTTTTGTATCAACAGTTTTCTTATCAAATTTTGTAGTTTATAACAATGTCAATAGTTCTCCCCTGTTACCTTCGCTGGGGTTAACCAACCATCAGTTTCAGTCGGCGTCTCTGCTCCTTCAGCTCTCATGAAATGCCGAGCTCTGTCACTTTTGTACCTCCGCATGAAGATTATCACCGTTGCAAAATCACCACGGCTCAGGATTCTCCTTCCAGGATATTCACACTGCTCACTCATCCCCCTTTCATCCTCATCATTTCTGGTAAGTAAATTATATCAGTCTCTTGTCTCCCGGGTGCAACAGACACTCTCAGCATCAGTTGACGACATCAGCGTTTCTCGCCATTTCTTTGCCCTTGGGGTAAGTTTCTTTCCTCACTGTACTCAAGTAATAGGGAGCAAGGTCTCCCTGTTACAGTCCCCCATAGTTACCTTAAGAGGGTCATCATTTTCCAGGAGGGCTGGGAGGTCATTAATGATTTGTCCAATGTGTTCAAACTAGGGGTTGTAAGTAGAAACCAGAGGGATTCTGTTGAACTTGTTGCAGGGTTAGTATTGTAGCAAGTCAGAGTGAGGCATGAGTCTTGGCTCTATGAATTTGAGTAGCTATGGTTTTGGGATCATGTTAGAAGTGTAGGAATTCCTGCTCTAGATCCTTAAGGTATGCACCCCAGGCAGTGGGATCAGAACAGATACAGGAGTAATGCAGAGCTTGGCTGTAGATCTAGTGGTGTGTTTAGGACAAAGGCAGCTGGCATGGATGTATCTGTCATGGCTGCATGGTTTCTAGTACAATGTGGTGGTGATGTGACCACTGCAAACTTTCACTACGGTGTCTAATGAATAAATTTATCTGTAGTCTGATAGCATGGCCTCCATTTGGATGGGTCTTCTGAGCTACAGTTTAACTTTTCAGGGTCAAAAGTCTTCCCACATGAATTTTCATACCTCAAATTTCTCCCCACTCTGGAGAGTTCTTTGTGCTGGTGTCAGAAGCCCCTTGATTTGTCCAGGATCCTTCTGTGCTACTAATGGTTTATATTCTGACCCCTGGACTCTCCAATTCAACTCAAACTCTCAGACCTTGACTGGTCCTGGAGCTAAACTGCTTCCTCCCTGCTCAGAAATCCTCCCAGTCTCTTCTTTTTTCTCGCCCACAGTGTCCTATTCATGCCTCAAGCTTCCTGTGTGTCCCCAGGAACCTTCCTCAATGTATATGCCCACTCTTCAACACCTCTCCTTCATATATGGAAATTTGTCACTACCCATATCCCTAATATCTGTAGTAAAGAGAAAATTGCATCTCCTAGTGTGCAGTCATCCTAGCCTCATGCAGGCTCACTGTTCAATCAAAGCACAGTCATTATGATTAGGTTCTCACTATTGTCCCTTCAATTATGTCTTTACGGCATAATGTGATACTATGCAGAGATACCAAAATGAGCTCTAAAAGGGCTAATTTGGGTATCAAAAGCAATGTGGCTGCATTAGTTTGATGCTGTGCATAGATAATTAGCCTTTCTGAGAAAGATTACATTTACCTAGGCAAAGCAGTATGCTAACAGCTGTACTGTTTCAGGTATCCAAATTAGCTCATTAAAAGTTAGTTCAGGTGACACAATGCCATGCCCTGCAGAAACTTTCGGTACAATGGGTACTTGCTGGAGGCACAGACGTAGAGATATTTCCATGCTACAGCAAGCTTCATAACAATAAGTTCATAATATCAACCAGAAGTCATAAGCCAAGCCATACACAGACTGACTGATTCCTCATAATATCCCATATTTATATTCACCCTGATATTTTAAGTTAGAGATTGGTTTAAGCCTGAAGCTTATAGCAATGACCTGGATGTGGGCAGTCACTCCTGGAGGCTGGGGTCCTAGCCAGGAGTCAGGAGCAAGTCAAGATCAAAAGCCAGAAAAAAATTTCAGGAACTGGGATCAGACCAGTCTACAAGTTTACCAGAAGATTAGCTGTGCAGACAGCTCACCGCTGTCTGCCTTGCTAGCTTCAAAGTTGTGTCCTATTCATTTCTTGTGTCCTGTTCATTTCCACTTGGCACAGTGATTCATCACAGCATAAGGCAGGGCAGGGTGGCACCTTAGAGACTAACTGGTTCACAGAGGCATAAGCTTTCATAAGAGACAGCCTACTTCACAGCTCACTATTCTCTCAGCATATATATTAACATTCCTTCAAAATGTCTCTAAGCCTGAAGTACTATAATTACTGGCATGCATATTGCTGTTATCCATATAAGCATCCCATTTCTTTCATTGAGTTTTCAACTTTATCCTGTGGCAGTGAGTTCCACAAGTTAATTACAGGTGTACAGAAAGCAACTTATCCATGAAAATAACTGTTGATTCTATCAAAACTTTTGACAGAAACTGCTTCCCAGGGCTGCCCACCTTCCCAGACAGCTGACTTTCCCACCACCTAGAAAGCTGCCTCCCCTCAGGGTGCTGGGGAAGACAGATAGCTCCAGAAGACAGCTGTCTCGGGAATCAGGCACCCCAGGGATAAGCCAAATGATCTAGTTCACCTCTCTCAAAATGGACTTTCTCTGATCTTCCTCTCGTGAAAAAAAAAATCATGTTTTTGTTTTTTGAGATGTTTTGTCACCAAAACAATTTTCAATATTTGGAAACATTTTTAAAGAGACAGAAATTTCCTTTTCTAGTAATACATAGTTAATATACATATATGAAGATAATACACAGATAAATGTAAGCCCAGAGCATTTCACTGAATTACCTGAGACCACATAGGAAGTCAGTAGCAGGGATGGAGAAAGAACTCCAGTGTACTGTGTAACTCATACATTTCATAGACATTCGGGCTGGAAGGGACCTCGGAAAATCATTGAGTCCAGCCCCCTGCCCGATGGGCAGGAAGTCAGCTGGCGTCATAGGATCTCAGCAACATAAGCATCCAAATTTCTCTTGAACGTGTTCAATGTAGGTGTTTGAACCTCCTCCAGTGGCAGGCTATTCCAGACTCTGGGGGCTCAGACAGCAAAGAAATTCTTCCTTGTGTCCGGCCTGAAACAGTCTTGCAGGAGTTTATAACCGTTCAACCTTGTCATCCCTTGGGGTGCTCTTATTAACTACTTAATCCCACCAGCTGGCAAGAAAATACTGGACCTGCAGCACAAGTTACATACACTATTTTTTTAGTAACTTCAGCCGTTGCCTACTTTTATTGTCATTCTGAGTTATTATTATTGGTATTACAGTAATGACTAGAGACTCCAATCTGCTGGACACTGGATGAGCACAGAGTGAAAGACAAGCTTTGCTTAAAAACGCTAACAGCCATACAGACAAAAAAGGATGCAGAAGGTGAAAAAAAGGTATGAAAAATAGGATTAGTTTCTGTGAGAAAATTAGATTTTTCAGCAGAAATCAAACTACTGGAACAATTTGGACCAAGTCCCCCAAAACCTAAAATCCTTGTGTCATCTTGAGGAAGTGTGATCTGACAGGAAAGCCAAATCCAGAGATAAGAATGAATCTACATGGCTAACAAACCTCAGCTTTGGCTAGCAAACATATGGCATGGTGGCAGCATCTCAAAACAAAATGTTTCAGTGTGTTGCCAGAGTATTCCAGGTTTTATCCTTTCATTATTTTTTAGGTTTGGTTTTGTTTGGTTTTTTCCCTTTGAGTAAAAGATACATTTTTCCACAGCCAGCATATGAAAATCAAGTTTAGCCGACAACACAGTTTTGAATATAAAGCTTGTTCAATACAAAACTATTAAGCATCCTAAATAAACGTCCTTTATTATACAGATGAGAAACTGAGGCACACTGGAATGAAGAGACTTGATTAACATTCAGTAAGAAGTCTGAGGGAGAATCGGAAATTGTACCTGATCTCTTGATGTCCACAAGATGATTTTAATCATAAGACCATCCTTCTTCTTGTGCACTCATGGAAACTCAACAGGAGTTTTATTAAAATGCATAGCCTATTGTGTGCAGAGTTCAATATTTTTTGCTCTATTATGTACGTGAAATCCTGCAACAAGACTGGCGAAGCAATGCTTGTAGCTTACTGAGAAGTGTGCTCATGAATAAGAAAGGATGTGCTTGGCTGTCTCTCTAGGATTGTTAGCTAAAAATGATTGCTTCTCTTTAACTGAAAAGTAGTAATGCTACAACCCAGTGTGGCCTACTTCCAGCCACAATTAACATTTTTTGTATTAAGTTTTCAGTGCTAGTTGTTAGGGCATATGTTTAAAGTTGCAAATTACAAATATCATTAATTTTCAAGTTAATGTGTTCAACCTTTTCTCCATGGTGTGTGTTTAAATAAAATTAGGGAAATGTGATACTGTACCTTAGTCAAGGCTTCATTTGAATATCCTTCATTACTAGCAGGCTCATAGTAGAGTCGGGCTGTAATTGATAAGAACGCTGATTACAAATAACAAACACTGTGAATTCCATATGTCTATCATTATCAAGTCTTTACATGTAGAATATAAGTCTGCAGCAATTTGTGGTAGTATGTATATTAGTGTGTGCACACAGTTTGTTTTTCTCAACATGCATGTGTATGCATGAACATACACATGCTATATGTATATACACATACATCAGTGCTTCCAAAGCAATGGTCGGAAGATTTTCCAATTAAAGGGAAAAAAATCTCAGACCATATTCTATTCTTACCTATAAGGTATACAAGTGGATGCTCCTGACAGATGTTCAGTTAAAGCACAATGGGATCTGATCCGTGACCCCAACCATCATGGCTTCTGCTATGCTGTAGGTACATGGCAGGAAACACAACTGCAGGTTTGGGGATCAGATTCCAATGGCACCCTATTGCTGGTGCAGGAAAAACCCAGGATTACAATTCTGTGTTGCCTTTGCATTGGCAATTAGCTGGTGCACCTGGCTTGGAGCAGGTTTGGGAGCCCTTCGCTACAGTTCACTCTCAAGAGAGGGAGTGCCAATTGGCTGACAGGTACTCCTGGCCTCAGGTGCAACAAATAGCTGGTCAGCACTGGCCACTCATTCAATTTAAGGCACAATGGGAATTAGCTGAAAAGTTACGACATATTTTGTGTAACAATTTTGTGGTTTATTCCCTGGTTTATTGCACCATTAATTACATGATTATGTGGCCATGTCTCAGAGCACTGAGGTGCCCTGCTCCTGAAGAGAGGAAACTGCTAAGGAGGGAGCCCTAGCAGTGACTAAGGAGCCCAGCTGTGAGTTGCTGGGGCAACCAGGGAAGGTCAGCTGACCAGAAGGGGCAGGGCCTGGCTCCCTTATAAACCCTAGGGGCTGGGGCCAGAGTCAGTTCCCTGCCAGTGGCCCAAGGGGAAGGAACTCTCTCAGGGAAGAAGGGTGAGGCCTAACTACAGGAGCAGTGTTTTGACACTGCTGAGGGAAGGAGTGTTCCCCAGTAGGCCGGACTGATGTTTTAGCCAGGTGGCTTCAATTTATGTTACAGCCCAGGGGCTTGTGTTTTGTTGTTACAAAACCGGTGGTTTGGGTGAGGCTATTAGGGGTTGGAGGAGGCCTCATAGGGGACTCAGTGCTGAGTGGGGACCCCAGTGCCAGTGAGGGCACAGTGTTTGGGGGTGCATAGACCCCAGCCCTAGAGAAGGGCAGCTGAGAATCCCCAGTGTAGGCACGGAGAGCCCCAGGAGAAGGCTGCGTTATTGAGAAGCCCCAGTGTGGGCATGGAGAGCCCCAGAGAGGGGGCAGCCTTACGGAGAAGTCCCAGTGTGGGCCCGGTGAGCCCAGATGGGGGGCAGCCTTACTGGGAAGCCCAAGTTGGGCATGTTGAGCCCCAGATAGGGGGCAGCATTATTAAGGAGCCCCAGTGTAGGCACAGAGAGCCCCAGGAGAGGGCCATGTTATTGAGAAGCCCTGGTGTGGGCACAGAGAGCCCCAGAGAGGGGGCAGCCTTACAAAGAAGCCCCAGTGTGGGCACAGAGAGCCCCAGGAGAGGGCAGCATTATTGAGGAGCCCCAGTGTGGGCATGGAGAGCCCCAGGAGCGGGGACAGCCACACTGAGCCCAGTGCGGGCGTGGTGAGCCCCAGGAGAGGGCGTAGCATCACAGAGATGGCCCCAGAGAGGGGGCAGCGTTGTAGATAAGGCCCTGGAGAAGAGGGCGCAGAGTGAGATGGGGCCGGGGAGAACCCTAGCACTGGAGGGAGCGTGCATCTAAGGAAGGAAGGCCCAGAGAGAACAGGAAGGGGCCAGATAGTGATGGGCCTGAGTCAACGACTATTTCATCGGCGAGGTGTGGACTGCAGTGTAGGGGAGGAAACAGAGCCACAGATAGAGCCCCCTAGCAGCGGAGCAGTACAAGGGCAGCCTCCTGCTAATTAACACTGATTAATCAATTATCAACAAGGCATGGCAGAAGAGTAGACGGGCAGTTGCCCCAGGAACAGGTGTGTGGGCCACATTAAGGTCAGCCCAGAGCGGATACCTGTTATACCATGTTAGTACTTAAGTTGTGATTACATTCACTTAGACACTTAAAAGATGGAACAGAGCTTGGTCCCTCCGGTCTGCATTTACAAAAAGGAAGCCAAGCCTTGTAAAATAATAGTTAACATTATTTTGCATTTATATGATGCTTTACCTGTATGAAGTGCTTTACATCCAGTAATTGATTCTCTATTAGTTTCCTTTGTGTCGCCCTAATTTAACTGAAAAAGAAAACTGGATGGCCTATTTCCACAAACAAACTAATAGCTATAATACTTTATTCCAAGAATAATCAACAAGACCATTCTGCCCAGGTGGATGCCAAGTGCCGCCTTCAGGATGTGTTCGCTCTCTCTTCATCCCATTTTCTGCACCCCAGGTATAGGTGCTAGAGCTGGGCAGAGAAACACAGTTCAATTCCATGGTGGATTTTTGGATTTCATAGTTCATTTTGACTCCTAAAAAAACCCTAATCGTTTCCAAATTCTCAGTGAAAAGGAATGGGATGCTGGCTCTGGACCTATCCATATGGTAGGCTGCCCAAGTGCTGAGGGCCTTGGCTACTAAGAAGCCAGGAGCTGGGAAGCCTCCAGTTGCCCAGTAGTTTGCTAGGCAAGCTGTTAAGGAACAAAGAAAGACAGCAGGCAGGAAAACAGGCAGGTTTAAAAAAATCTGAGCAGTTTTATCAGATCAGCATTGAAACCTCCTTCCTTGATTATGACAAATTGAGACATTCCCACCAAAAACATTTCTTCAACTCTCCAGTCCTTGTCCAGTGACGCTTTTAAATCATGCTGCTTCCTTGAGGAATTTGGTTAATGGGGCTGATTGGTTAAGATCTGGTGTAAGCCATAGGAACCTAGGACTGGATGGGGCTCCAAAGGCCATCAAGTCCAATCCTCTGCCTTGTAAGTAGTCATGTACTGAAGGCCTCCCTAAAATTGCAATTGAAAGCAAAATCACCACTTCAAGCCCTCACACACAATTAGAAAGCATAAAACCAGAAGCACCAAGAACATCCAACAACAAAGTGCTAGATAAGTGTGTATGAGACTAGGGCACTGCCAATGTCCTGCCAATGTTGGTCACTGTTTGCAAATATAGACTTTTGCATATTAACTACACAGGTTGCTATACCAAGAATACCCTACCCTATCATACCCTTTTCCCCACAAACTTACATAGTTCAATCCTAAAGCAACTCAGGTTTTATCCCTATTATTTGCCTTGGGAAGCCATTCCAAAGCTTTACCTATTTAGTAAGTAGAAATATTCTACTTTCCAATATGCTGTTTTCATAACCAGTCAGTAGCCATTTTCTCTTGTGCTGGTCACGTTTGTCAACCTAAAAACTCTTTTCCCTCCATTGACTTTAATTGATTTCTTTTGACTTATGCTGGTGTGAAACTAGAAATAGGCTCAATATTTTTCAGGGTATAGTGATTGAAACAAACCATGAAAACAATGTAGTGGAAGGACTGTGAAATAAGGGAGGAAAGAGGTGCACAGATTTGAGGAGACTAGTCACAAAGGGTTCATAGGTGTGTACACAGAAAGGACATCTCTGATGAATCCTGAAGCTACATGGAATTTATAAGATTATATTGGAGAATGAGTGGACTGGGAATGCAATTGTTACTGTTTAAGAGGGAAAAAAAAATAAAGCTTCCAATAAAATGAAGACTTACAGTATCTGAAAGACTCTAATGATAACTGAGGTTTCGAAGGTGTCACTGCCTTCAAGACCCGCAGCCTCCCCTAAAAGAAAGAATTGTTTTCAGCTCTGTGTAATTGCAGGATGTCTTCCCACTCCAGAGTGAAGGTGATTATCTCTAAACACAGAACAAGTTGACTATCCCTAGACAAATAATAAGACATTATCTTTCTCTTCCAGGCAGCTAATTAAACAGGTTTGGTCTGTACCAATGTGTGTACTGTAATTTCTACATTATTATAGCTACAAAAATTAGTGTCAGGGACTGAAAAGCAGCAGGA